GTGTGTGGAAGAGGGAGGGGGGGGGAGGGAGAGTTGTGTCGAGAGGGCAATTACGTTTTGTGTGTCCATGTTTGCTCGCTTTGTCTGGCTCCCTCTCTCTTAAGATGTAGTTTTTGTGTTTTATCTGTAACTCGGTGTTTCTTATTCATTGGAAATACATAAATGAAACCCGGATCATCTGGCTGGAAGTGTTCATTTCAGTCTGAATGCAGCCAGTGATGGCATCCGGCGCAAGTCAATACAATGCTGAGTAGCAGCTGTGTGCTTGTCATGTTATTACATGATTACACTAGAATGGAAATTCAACCTCAATGTCAAGGATTGCAGGGAGAAGAAGAGTGTACCTAAGCTACCATGTTGTGCTGTTACGATCCCAGTCACAGCCCACGTAACGGCATGCTCTGCATTTTGTACTAACTGTGGGATCTTGTAAGATAAGCGATTTGCGACATCATGCAATAGTGCGAGGGAGAGTGTTGACGGAGCACACAGTGGGCTTACCCATGATGGTGGTTGCAGCGACGGCGCCGACGGGGAAAGAAAAAAGTCAAGTCCTGTAGTGAGCATACTCGCTTGGTGAAAATGGTAAACACGACAGACTATAATAAGGTGTGTCAGAAGAGGGAGTGTGTGTGGAGGAGGGGAGCGTCATACCATAAATGATAAGGTTTGTGGACATGGGTAGAGGGCGGAGGGTGTGTGGAGGGAGGGGAGCATCATTCAAAGATGCCTTACCTGCAAAAAGAGGGGAAGAGGGAGTGTGTGTGGAGGGGAGCATCATCCGAGGATGCCTTAGCTGCAAAAAGAGGGGAAGAGGGAGTGTGTGTGGAGGAGGGGAGCATCATCAGAGGACGCCTCACCTGCAAAAAGAGGGGAAGAGTGTGTCGAGGAGGGGGGCTGTATGCTTTGTACACGAGTTCGGGAAGCGGATTTGACGAAATGATGTTTTTTGTTCCATGTTCGCCGGCGGGTAAGCACGTAGATGGCGAAAATGTTGAGAGGGTTTGCATTCAAATATGCCTTACAAACAAAGTGGTGGTGGCGGAAAGTGTTCAGGGGGTACATTATTTAATAATATATATTAATATAATAATTTATATTCAATGCTGCACTGACAAAGACGGGGGAATGGAGGATGCCAGAGGTTGCCACTAGATTTGGCTCCCGCTGCTTGTCCAGAAGCACTGGAGTGGAGATACAACGCATAGTGAGTATGAATGTATCCCGTTTGGTACAGCAGCCATGATAAGGGTGCATTGTGTTTGGGGGAATACCTTATAGTATATCAGATTCATCTGCAGGAAACGTGCAAAAAACATGGAGTGCACGAACAGTGGTAGAGAGCTTTGACATGCACGGAATAGCGAGCTCCATTTTGGGCGGTAAAGGATAGAAATAGCCCAAATAGTTGCTGGGTTGCATGGGTGGCAAGAAAATAGCCAAAGCCGAATGCCCCTGGTGTGGCGCCAAACGTTTCTGTTGCATTGGGCCACCATCTGCGGAGCAACATTGCTTTGTGTGCTTGTGTGTGTGTGTGAACTGTTGCTGGCCACACACACAAACACACACATGCTTTTTTTGTTTTATGGATGGTTTATGACGATTCCTGGATGGGAGAATTTGGGTTTTTTGAAAACCCACACACACACATAGAGAGAGAGAGAGGGGATGGCTTACGTCATTTGATAGTTCTGCTGGAACCTACAACCAGGCTGGGGCAAGTTGGCAGCCAGGCTGGCATCCAATTTCAGATATGTAGACGTCTGTCTCTAGCATGGGTGACAGTCAGCACATTGTTTTTTTTTTTCTCTTTCTACCTAAGCTGTACTCTTTTCTCAAATCCACCTTGTTTTTTCTCTCTTTCAACGTAAGATGCTCTTTTTCTCAAATCCACCT